TGGGCTTCGGCTGTGTGAACCACAGGCGTAGCGCGCGGTTCTGCTGCATCACCGGGCCTCACTCGTCTCAGGGGATGCACCACAGGGTTGGTCTGGGTCACCACCACTGGAGGCACCGACACCGCAGGGGCCGGTTGTGGGTCCTCAATGAGCAGCACGGCCATCCATTCCTCCACCACCTCTTTTGCCTCCTTCAGGGTCTCCGGGTGCAGCCTGCGGCCAAAGTCCCTTCTCGCCCAGGCCGAGGCTACATCAAAAGGAGCACTCCAATCTGGACTGTTAAGACTGTGTAGACTTTCAATCCCTCTCTTTATCACAGCCTCATAGTGATCTTGCAGGATGATGAGTGCGGTGTGCTCCCAATTTTTGGCATTGCCATCAATGAGTGTCTGTGTCTCTGCGGTTGGGATAGCTGGCTTGATAAAAGCAGCTAACTGTGTTGTCATTCTGACAATAGAGATGGGTGGGTTTGTCACATCAATGTTTGTGAAGTGGTGTGAAGCCTTGATGATCCTATGCAGAATACGGCACTTGTTTGAAAATAACGGATCATCAGACCTGGGCAAATTACTGGTGCCCTCATTGCTTTGAAATGTGTCATGCCGATTATTATTATTAAACGTACGGTTGTTGTTGTTGTTGTTGTTGGGACGTTGGAGGAGAGGAGCCAGCGTGCGGGGTCGGGGTGGTTGCCGGCGTGTGCCCCGGTCAGCTGGTCGCGCCGCGTACCTGTTGTTTTGGCCGCCATTGTTGCGCCACCGCGGTCCGCCTCTACGGTCCGGAGCTCTCCGAGTGACGTCCGCGTACGAGACCCGTTGATAGCGGGGCCGTTGCTGCTGGTATTGTTGCACCACTCGCTGGTCTGGTGGGCGGAAACGTTGGTTGCGCCGCCGTCCATAGCGGACCACCGTCCAATCTCCTCCATCATCACCGTCCTCATAATACATGGCTAAGCTAGTAGCCTCGTGTCGTGTTAGCTTTCAAAGAACGGCAAAGAAAAATAGTCTTTTACCTTTTTATTCTTTGAACAAAAAAAATAAAATAAAACAACAAACGGAACAAGAACGAATTTAAATAGCAACGTTTCGGATACTAACGTATCCTTCTTCAGGCTATAAACTTGTTCTTAAAAGCTGAGATGGTGAGCGCAAGTTTTGCGTCCACGGTCATCACGTTGAAAAAGAAAGTCCGGCCAAATTTGCATAATAAAATGGCGGCCGTGCCCTTTCAACTCTCTGGTCCCTCGGACCAATGATAACGTCGTACTCCGCGGAGGGATACCAAGGTGAATGACGTCAGATTGTTACAAACACCCGCCCCTTTTCTCAGCACAATAACAACACAATAATCGGCAATACACATTCGGCAGCGATAACAGCAAAGTAGTGCAAAAAACATTCATAGTAAAAGAACCTTAAATCAATTAGGTTGGATGAATTGTAAAATATATTGAATATATATATATATATATATAAAATAAAAACATATCAATATATAATATGTTAAATCTCCCAGCCGCGCATTTCCCAATGCGGCTTATAGAAACTGCAACATGAGTTCTGGACACGCAGTGAACAATCCAACTGAACATGAAATCTTACAGGAATATCCACATTCATACAGAATGCTGTATACAATCCCATGTACATAAAGATGTTTATACAAATATACAAACATGCAAAGAAAACCACACAATTGTATATACACATTTAATTCCACCAAACCATGTCCACTCCTGGTGTTTTATTAACATGTCTGCCACGTCCTCTAATGGCAGACATAGAGTTGTTCATATAAACATAATAACAGCCACCTTAAGCCCCTGGAGAAATCCGGGGAATGACACACAAAGTAACTGGTTAAGTTTAGGCGTGTATTATGACTGTTTAGGTTTAGGCGTGTATTATGACTGTTTAGGTTTAGGCGTGTATTATGACTGTTTAGGTTTAGGCGTGTATTATAGCTGGTTGTGTTTAGGCGTGTATTATGACTGGTTGTGTTTAGTGAAAACTAACTGGGTGGGCTGTATGAGGAAAGAGGAGACCACAGGCTGCAAGGCAGGCGGCACGGGCGAGTTAGGAGTTAGAGAGTTGCGATGGTCCTGTAAACAAGACCATCCATGCACTGTCCTGCACTACCTCACTACCTGCAGCACCCTCAGTCCTCGTTAAGGCCACTGGGATGCCTTGTGTCCATTCTGGCGATCCACACCCTCTCTGCTCTCCTCCTCTGGGGAGCACTCCATCTAGGGTTGCACTCAATGACACACACAGAGACAGAATTCCAATCATGAGAAATGAAGTGTTTCACCAGTGGCGTGCGTGTCTTTTTCTGTTTGACAATATTATGTTTGTGTTGTGTCATACGGGTGGCAATGGTATTCCCAGTCTCTCCCACATATTGAACACCGCATTTGACACATGTGATCAGGTAGACACAATTAGACGATTTGACATTCCCTCTGGTCGGGTTATGAAAAACCTCTTTAGTAGCATGACTGCTAAACCACTCCCTGTGTTTGAACCACTGATTTGAACCTCCGGACCTGCCCCTTTGAAAGGGTGGAATTTTGGCTTTCACCAAGTGATCTTGTAAATTCTTATTCCTTCTGAAGGCTGAAATGATCCTGTGGTCCTGCAGGATGGAAGACCCCGTGGTGTGGGAGAGGAATCTCCTTCTACATCCCCTGACCAGTTCCACCGTAGAAGGTGAGTAAGTGGTTACAAAAGGAAGACTGGAGCCCACGATGATTGCCCTCTTTTGGAGGAAAGACCTGTGGCACTTTCTAAGGAAGGTCCTGGAGTACCCCCTAGAGGACAAAGCATGGAAGAGCACCTTGACCGCAGCATGGAAATCCTCCTTTCTGCTGCATATTCTGTGAAACCTCAACAACTGCGATTTAATTAAGCCAGCATATGTGTGCTTTGGGTGAAAGCTGGTCTTGAAGAGCAGAGCATGAGTGTCCGTCTCTTTGAAGAATACTTTGACGTCAAGTGTGTGGGTTTCCTGAAATGTATTACTTTTAAATGTCGTGGTGTCCAAAAAGTCAATAGAGGTCAAATCGTTGGTGGATTTAATTTTAATAGACTGATTGTGGTTGTTGAGGATGCACAGAAAAGTCTCAAAATCCTCCCTCGAGTGAGGCCACACACCCCAGATATCGTCCAAATATCTGTAATAATACAGTGGTTTTTTAGGACACATTTTCAGGACTGAATCCTCCCACTCAGCCATAAAAATATTAGC